AGGCCAGGTTGGACACAGGGGCTTGGAGCAACCTGCTCTAGTGGAAGGTGTCCCTGCCTGTGGCAGGGGCTTGGAACTGTATGAACTTTGAGGATCCATTCCAACCCATTCTAGGAGTCTAGGAATCACCATGGAAAGTGAGAGCTCAAGCTTTCCTGCTTCCACTGAAGTGATTTAACTCTCAGAGTAAGTGCTACATGAGGAAACATCTCCCTTGTTTGCATTTCAACACTCTTAAATAAGCACACGTTTCAAACTAGCAGGCAGCTAATGGTCACAAGGCCGGAAATCTGCCTATCACACACCGAACTTCAGATTGTCTCAACAGTGTTTCCTGGAGCAATGGTTTAACACAAGCAGCAAAACCTGGAACAACATCCAACCATGCCAGAAGCAAGGCCTTAATTTTCTCAGTCCAAGTGACTGATAGAGCAGGCCCATGGATAGCGATTTACTGGCGGATCTGGTTTCACAAAAACAGTAAGAGAAGACAAGACTGCATCCAGTAATGTTTAAGAAAATGTCAGGAAGGAGACAGAGCAGGAATTTTTTAACTCATCAGGTACACAAAGTACAGGTACACAGGTATTACCAAAGCAATAATATTTAAATCAACAAATAACACTGCCAGAAAAAGCAGCACATCTGACACAATGCAAGCAGCTGCCATTCAGGATACAAAATGTCTGCTCCCATTCCTGAGTATATAGGGAATTTTCATGCAAGAGGGCCATTCCAAGCAGGGGTGATAAGGGAATAGACTAAGAATCCCTGTTCCAGAACATTAGAATTGAAATCTATTGTTTATTCTCTCCAAACATTCTCCAGCTCTTCTTCCTCCCTTTCTCATAAAACCCTAAACCAGAAAAAATTCAACTTTTCACATACTTTAGAATTCTTACACATTGGAATGTAATATGGTGACCAACTCAGATCCGCCGAGTAGCCTGGTGTTTAAAGCAGAAGCAGACTTTCTAAAGATTATATGAAGAGGAAATGAAGAAAACCCCAGAGCATCACTATGCAAAAATAGCCAACTGCTGTTAGAACTTGTTCATTTAGTCAGTTCTTTTACTTTTCCCCTCAAAATCTGAATTCCTGGTTACACCTACACTAAAAACAGTGTTAATCATAATATCACATAGGATCCTGATTTGTTTCAGTCCAAGTTACACAGAACGCAGCAAGGGTGACAGGTTTTATTATCCTTTATTTACTCTTCCCCCTTCCCAGAAACCAGATGATTCTATTTTTAGCTCTTGTAAGGCATGATTCAATCAGTAATTTTAAGTATGTTTCACAGCTGATTTTAAACACACACTCCAGGGCACTTAATGGTTAAAAGGATGCCCAGCTCAGATCTTTTCTTCCACTAGCAGAAGCACCTCAGACCTTTCAAAATACATTTGATTTACAAAGAAATTAAAGGCCATGAGAGCCACAGAAAACATAATTAGAAGTCTTAACACTAGCTACTGAAATTAAGACATCCGTTATCTCTTGACTCAGCTCCATGAGAGGATTCCAGTCCCATGGAAGTCCATGCTATTACCATGACACACTTTCCCAAACCAGGACCAGACAACAGTAACTCCTTTTCCCACCCTCACACACACTTGTTATCTAAATACCTCAGCTCCATCAGTGTTGTCCATCATCAGCTAACAGGCTTCATAAACTCATAAAATTTTACTCCATCATCCTTTGCAAAGACAGCACTCCTCATCCTTTCATACATCTAATGCTCGGGAGCCCACAAGTAAGAAACTGAAAGCAGTGCCACTAAGACCAAGCAGGGACAAATCTCTCTCACATATCAGAGTTCTCTGTTTATGAAACCTTGCTCTAGAAGTTTCCCAGCAGGTGAAGCTGCTCTTTTGGAATCAAATCCCAGAATTATCTTTTAAGTTAGAATCTTTCCAAAGCCTACAGGAGGAGCTACTATATTACTATGACTGCTATAGGTAAGGTTACAGAAGCCATTTTGAACTAGGTACTGATCCAAGCCCACCTAAAATTACAGGCTATCAAAACCCCAAAGTCAAAGATGCAAGAGTTCAGTGCTTCCTGTTTTGCGTATCCATTTTTCCTCAGTTACAGCTCTCTGAATAACTAAGCATACAGATATTTAAATAATATAGTTTAAAGCTTTATATTTAACAGAAGCACCGTCTGCAACAAGATGTATTTGCAACTGTTTCCATTTCAAATAAATCACACTGCACGTTAGCCTCTTGACACAAAAAGTTGATATCTTGGCAGGTATTTTATTGCCAACAAAGGCATTCTCAGCAGAAGCAAGCAGTAGTTTAACATATGGATAGAGATTAAGGAAGGTAAAACAGATTGTGTCCACATTGATTTTATTATAGACTAGACAAAGGCACATATGAAACATCTGTTGGAATAAAAGTATACCACATAAATGGAAAAAATAGCTATACCATTTGGAATTGGAAAAGACTAAATTTGAATTCCCAAATTTAAGCATTTCCAGCCCTGAACTACTTACCAATATTCTGCAGTCCAAAAACCCAAAGCTCACAGTTAAAGGCTGCTAGCTAAGTAATATCACCATCATATTTTCCATACTCACAGCTTTTAAAAACTTCTCCTTTGAGGCTGGGAATTACCATGTTTGGTATGAAACCAAGCCACGCTACTGCAGTTTCTCCTGGTTGATGTGAAATGAGGGAAAAATTCACTTTTTGTTTAGGTCAGAACAAGAGAAGAGACTTTACCTACTAAAATGCAAAATAAAACCCTCGAGTGGCCCAATACTAAATTGTTAAACCAACTGCCTTTCAACACCTCCTGTTTCAAGAATTTGCTTCTGTGGGTATAAAATCTGTTTGTTTCCTCCCCGACCCCCGATATAATTCTGCCTTGTGGAGACTTTGTTCTTACTGAGCATTAAAATGACAGCTACTTCCCCTTCTCAATACCTCCAGTAAGGACTAAAAACAACAACATTCTCAAATGGCAATAACTCAGGATGTTCCACTCAATT